AAATTAAATACTTTGCTTGAAATGCTACACTGACGACTGCCTAGCGGTGGGCGGTGGAATGGGGGCATGGGGGCGTGGCAGGGCGTTTGGGAGTGACAGAAGGACTGAAGGACAGGCAGCCCATGACAAGGCAGCGAGGCAGCAACTTGTTAGCGATGCTCCCTCCGTGCTGTTTTCCTTTTCCTTCTCGTTTTCGTTTTCACTCTCGCTTAAATTGTGCAACATTTCCGAGATGCCTTTCTTCCTCTCGAGCTGTTGTTGAGTAATTAAAATGCAAAGCAAAGTGCAGCAATTTGAGCCTAATTATAATGGCAGCATAAAAGTTGCGGGCGGCTTGAGAGGAAATCAGCAAACAAAATGGTTTAACCGACATGCCCCGACAATGTCTTGCCGCATTTCAGTCTTATGTGTGTGAGGCAGCACAACATTTTCAATTTCCGCGCTCAAAGCCGCACCGACAAGAACATTTTGAAAATTGAATGTCACTGAAAATGGCTACAGAAAAGGGGAAAAAACATTTGACCCACTCGGAACCCCAGTTTTGGCTGCTCTAGATTTGCGGCCCGCTTTCCAGGAGATGCCGAGTTCATTATAAATATTTTTTTAGCAACCTCGAAAATGTAAATAATATTCTGTGCACTTGACTAACACTCGACATTTGCATGCGAATATTATAACGCACATATGTAATGAAAAAACAACAACAAATTCGTAAAAAAAATACCCAAAAACCACAAATATGCGGTGACTCGATGCGGGTCAAACATTTTTGGGTATAAATATTTAATGTGCCATGAAATGAGTAGGCGACATACAAAGGGAGCGAAATGGGAAAGGGTTTTTCCGAATGGCTAACGAAAGTGTCAGTCGAGTTGAACGATGCCCTCGGATTATGCGAAATAAAGTGGATTCGGTTTCAGTGGTAACTTTTGTGGGAAGTCCAAAAATTCATATGTAATTAACCGGGTGAAATGATACTTCTAATTTTATTGAATAGTCCTATATCAAATTATATAGAGTTCATCTATACATCTAACATATACACATGTTATTAAATTCTAAATTGCACTTCGACAATTAAGCAATTGAAAATAAAGATTGAACCTCGTTTTGTTATTAAAACCCACAAATTAAGAGCCAAACAAATACTGGCCTAAAACTTGAAGTAAATATGAAAGTGTACTTCCCCCATATTAAATATTAATACCAAAAATGGACACCCACCCGAATAAGGACCTTTTGGTGGCAACAAGTTCTTCAATCAAATTCATCACTCTCATTCTCACTTGGCCAGGTGCTGGCGCAAAAAAGCCAAAGTTTATTTGATACTTTTCCCAACAATTTTGTTGTCTGCCCTTTTTTTTCGCAAGAATTTACATATATATAATACATTTGCACTGACCAAACTTGCCAGAAAAGTTAAACTTGTTGCACAGTTGGTGGACGACTGTTTCTTGACTTTCCTTTGGCGTTTTTTTTGCCAAACAGTAATTAATTGTGTCCCTTATACAAAGCACTTCTTTTATTTTGCTTTTACTGAAACCACAATTTTGTTCAAGATAGAGTGAGTGGGAAAGCGGAAAATAAACAGCTCGAATTATAATTAAGTATGCGCCCTGTTGCCCTTTGAGAGCCAGAAGAATAAAAGTTTGTTGATTTTTTGCTGTTTTTTTATGTGAGCTATTTTTTTGCATTCCCTTCTTCCGCTGTCTTATTTTCCTGTATTTCAAGTATTTGAATTCACGCATTTTCGTGGCAATCAAGCGTAATTGCAGGAGAGTTGCAAAAAAAAGACCTAAAAGTTTACCTAATTTACATTGGTGGCAAAGGGTTATTTTTTCGAAAGTTTTTATATTGATGTATATCTGGTTGTGGAGGAAAGGGAATTTCTAAATCAGACCTGTTGCTGGCGTATAAATGGCAACCAGTGCAAATTATGAAGGACACTGCCAAAAGCTTGTTGACTACTCAAGTGGCACAGTTCCTTTATGGGTTTCACATTTCTCTGGCTTAATATCTCTTTCATTTTTTTTTTTTGTCAATTTGGGACTTGCTCTTAGCAAAGCTATAGAGAATTTTAAGAGCTTATCCAATTTTGTGTGCCTGCCACAGTAATTGTCACAATTGTCCAAATGGTTTAGTTTTTTTTGTAGCTCGATTCACTCACTTTAAGCCTTTAAGAACTTCGGAATTTTCTGAAGTTCTCTTAAGAGCTTTAAAACTAAGAGAAATCATCGGGGAAAGCTTAGCATCCACAATTTCTCTTGAATTTTCTCTTTAGCTTTCTCTATATTCAGCAAAGAGAAAGTTTTTGTGGACTGTAAGCTACTGATAAGGATTTACTAGAACAGCTGTTCTTTGAAAAGCTTTAAAAGAAATGGGATTATTTACAGGCTCATTGAATTCAATTGAATGGTTGTAAAGTGAAACAAAAAAATAAAGAAATTGTTAAAAACGGGAAAATGTTATTTATCATTGATGTTGCTAAAAGATAAAAATGAAACGTAAGTTTTTGTATCTTCCTTTTTAAGGCCTAATTTTACTTATATGATAAAAAATCAGTTAAGTAATTTCTAAGATTTAATTACATTGGAAGGAAATCTCTAAATTTCCTGTAATTGTTTACATCTTAGACTAAGCAAGAGCTGCAAATTATGCTGTCTTATGTTTTATGTAATACCAAAAATATATTTGTATAAATAGGAAAAAATCGTTAAATGTAAAAAAATTATTTCCGAGTGAAATCAAAAAATTATTGCTTAATTTTGCGAGTAAAAACCATTGTATAGAAAATAAAAAATATGAGCTTTTGAAACTCAGTCATTGACATTTTTTTATATATATTTATCAAATTTCAATAAAATAATTTAAGCTACTTCACAATTTTTCGAATAACATTCTCACATTTCGTATCCGCCCCGTTGCCAACTAAAAGGTATAACAACATCTGATACAAGAAGAAGTGCAGATGTTGAGTATCAACTTTTGTGTTGCATATTTTTGGGGATTTTGTTGTTTCCTCAACAGAGCTCTGTTGTTACCATAGTTTACACGTCCCATGATTTCTGAATTTTTGTTTGAATCATATTTGACTTTGTATTTTCCTTTCTCCTCACAAGTTTTGTTTGTTTATCTAATGACTGTTGTTGTTGCCATTATTGTTACTCAAATTTGAAAACTTTGCACTAGCAGTATGCAGATTGAGGAAAACTGCAACGCCAGGTTCCAGAGTTGAAGGAGTTGGTCGCATTCGGTTAGTTAGTGGACAATAAACTGACGCTGCATGCATATTTATGGGCGGCTGTAGGTTAACTGGTAATTGAATCAATGCCTGTGACATTGTTTATTAATATGCAATTAGAGGCGGAGAACGTGGCCTACAATTCAAACCTGGATTCTAGTCAGCCGATTGCGATGGCAAACTAATTAAGCGAAATTAATGCGTCGCGAATTCCTAAGCCTGATTACGTAATTTACAAAATGCCTTGTGGCCGGGATACAGATTACAGGTAGCCAAAATTACCTGATCTGAAATTGAATTCAGCATTATGCATACATCTCATAAAAGTTTTGACTAGATATTATGAGTAAAACAGAAGATAATTTTTCTTCCTGCAATTAAAGTTTATTAAAATATATCCAATGAAAAATGTATATTGGAAGAAAATTAATTTGATTTCTTCTTTTAAAAACAATATTTGATTTCGATTGTACTCAAATTATTAAGAGAATATCAAATTGTTGAAACGAAATAAAAAATATAAGCTTAGGAGCTTATTATAAGTTTATACTTACGATTGAAGATATTTATCCTATTTTTTCCCATCTTTACATATATGCATGTAATAGTGCCCAATCTGCCATTTTGTTGAAAGTGCATTGTACTAGCCTTGAAAGTTTCATTTTATTCGGTCCCCCTCTAGTCAATTTCAATGTACTGCCTTGGGCATGGAACAAAGGAAAAAAACTGCAAAATTGTATTTTACTTTTAAGCTGTCGCGGCGGACTCTGCAAAAAAAAGAAGCCCCCTAGAACTGGCGAAAATAAAATATACGAGATTCGCTCTGTTTTTGTCTAATGTAAAATGCGACGCTTCGGGTAACGCGCAGATTTTGAGCTTTATAAATTGAAATGTCAGAAAAAGTTGAGGGAGCCCCAGTACCGAGCAGTTGACTGACTGACTGACTGACAAGCAGCCACAGCCAGATACCAAAATCTGCCAGCAGACAAAGCCAAGTCAACTGCAAAACTTTGCCATATTTTAATATTATTATTTTTTCTTTTTTTTGGTATTAGCCAAAATATATAAATGATACTGCGGCTATGAATAATGCGACATGATTATCGTTCTTGCTGTTTCAGATCGCATCAGAAGTGTGCTATTATTTAGTGTAATTGACGTTGTCGTGTTGAGATTCTCGATGCAACAAAAGGCAAAACAAGGATGGCAACATTTCGCCGGCAGCCTCAACTGCAATTTGCGTTTAGTTGTCGTGAATTTGATATTTCATTAACCAATCAGAATGTTAGCATACCCCTTTGACTTTTGCTGGCGGCAAGATATTCCGTAGCTCTTAATTAGGCAAGCAGAATTCAATAACAATTTCCTTTGAAGCGGATAATGGGTAGAAGCACTCAAAATTGATTTGAAATTATTTTGATATTTTTTATATTTTTTTTATATCCTTGCAGAGGTGAAGGGCACATATCTGACCCAATAAAGAATATATATAATCTTTATCAGAATCACCAGGCGGGTCAATCTAGCCATTTCCGTATCGGAAAATCGACTTATCTTCATTGTTCTTTCCTTTGTTGTTGTCTTTTTGATTTATATTTTTGCTGTTAATTATTAAATCGCAAATAATCGTCAGATTACATTTTTTTGTATGCTCGAATTTCTCCCTGCTTTTACCTGAAACGGCTGAAAAGGCTATACTTATCTTGATTATTTTTGTTTGCAAATTTAATTGTTAATTGGATTGAAAAATAAACTCACGTCATATGGTAAAGAATTTTATTCAAAAAAGTTTCTTGTTCAGCTTAACTTTATACAAATTATAACTTACAAAATACAAAAATCAATCATCATCATGAAAGTACATTGTAATTAATTTATGCACTTAACTTATTCAATTATCAATTAATACGTAATTGTTAAAATGGTTTTAAATAATAACATTAATTGCCAGTTGTATGGAAAATGGATGGATATCGTTAAGAGAAAAAAAACAAAATTAATTATGATAGAATACTTTTAGTTGCAAGAGATGTTCGGTAAATTGTTCTCTATCGAATTTTTGTATTATTTTGTTAAATGCTTTTTTCTGGCTGCCTAAATTGTTAGAATACTAATTTTGCATATTCAAAACGGCGATGTGTACAAAAATGTTTGCGTAAAAATAATTTAAGGTTCGTCTAAATAAGTTTACTTAATTTTGCATAGTTTGTATTTTTTGTTGTGTTGCATCTTGTCTTAAATTTACATTTAGCTTAAATGCGAGACATTTATGTAAATAATTGAGATTTTCAAATGCTTTTTTTCTCTTGCCTATGTTTATGTAAATTTTATTTATATATAGTTTGTTTTGCAAATATTCTTTTAGCTTTTTTAAGGTTCTCTTTCGTTTTTTATCATGTTGTAAATTTGATTTAATGTGTGGGCTGAGGGAGGAGGGGTACATATTGGGGAGCGTGTCCTGTGTCAAGATTTCTGTGCGGAGAATTAAGTTTACGTTGTATAAGTTTATTTTTTTGCTTTTATGTTTTTAGTTTCACATTTCATTAGATTTTAGTACACACATTCAAGAAGTTTTTGAAAAACCACTTAAGACATTTTATTCTTATTTTTTTCTGCATACTTAATATCAATGTAAAGTTTATGTTTATGCTGCACTGGGTTTTTGTTTACGTTGCTGCTCCTTAATTTTTGTGCATCCAGTTTTATGTTTTATTTGTGTCAGCCTCCCAGGGTGTTTTTTTAGTTGGGATAGATTATTTTTTGCTTTCGCCTCCCTTTTGCACGTACACTATTTCGGCGTATTCCGTTGAACTTTTAACCCCGACGCCAGTTCCTTCAGGTGTTGTTGCTGTTGTTGGTGCTGGTGTTGCTGCTGTTGTTGTCTCATTGGCTGGTTTTAGTACAAGTTCAGCATAGACGAGTTGTTTGTCTTGCTAGGTTTTTTTTTGGAAAAGATAATAAATGTTTTTGTAAGTATTTGTTCATATCAAAGAATCTTTGAAAAGAGATATTAGATTTTAGGATTTTCATAAGGGAAATTTTTAATACCTTTTCTTTTGCTTTGCTTTACTTAAATGTCCACACTGGTGAGGTGCTTTGCCAAACTATAGCCTTTATTTGCGTATATATACAAAAGTTATACAACAACGGATTTTATTTTGCATGCGGTTGGTTTTTTTAAACGGAAAGAGCAGAAAATGGCAAAGAAAACGTTGAAGAAAATTTGTGATAATAGCAAAAAGGAAATTATAAAAAACAGAATTTTGCAGTTTGCTTGCGTCTAAATATAAAATAGCTATGCTAAGTTAAAAGGTAAATACAGCTCGCACTCAAACACACGCACACTTAAGGATAATACTCACGGAAAAAAAATGTGTGACTATAATTTGACCATCGAAAATTTGAGTTGCTTTGATCTTGTCAATGGTAAATATATTGAAACAGATTGGGAACTCTATTCAGAAACATTTAACAAGTTTTTCCCAACGATTTTTAGTATAAAATTTATTGTTCAATACATTGGAACACCTTTGCTTGTGTTTATTTTGCAACACTTATCTTGGAATGCAACGATCTAATTTAATTTTTTAAAGAAATAGGATTTTCTATTTATCATATTTTTCTTTAACTAGAATCAAACTAACCTTATATATTTAGATTAAGATATTTTGTGAATTATATAAAAATATTACAAAAATTGATATTCCAAAAAGTATCTTCTTTTATAAAGATACCTTGGGAATTCAATGTGATATATATTGTTTATCTGAACATTTTTAATGATATTTTTTCTGTGTGCTCAGGAAAAGACAGAGAAGATGGAAAGAGAAAAGGTCGGTGTCTGGGACATTTTTCAATACCTTTGGTTCATTGTCATTGCCATCGATGGCATTGTTGCCTGCTGGATTCTCCTGTTCGCTTCCCTCCACAATATTCATCGACTCCTGGTTATCCTTGTACTTCCTTGAATCCTTTTCGTTGAAACGCTTTAAAATTGCGGCGGCAAAAGCCGGCAATCTCTTGGCCTTCTTCTGCTGCTGTTGTTGTTGTTGTTGCTGCTGTGTGTTCTCCTGTTCGTTAACGGTTTCCTCCTCCTCGGCCGACACGCCCACTCCGCCCATCGTCGTTGTGGCGGTGGCCGTTGATGATGTGGCTTTTATATCGGCGCTTTCGGTGTCGCTGCTGCTTGTCGGTTGTAAAATTGTTGGGAGGTTTTTGGATGGGTTCATGATTTTGATTTTTGTATGAGAGATTTTTGCTGTTTGCTATTTGTTTTTTTTTTTTAATGTTTTTTTGCTACTTATTACTGTGTCAAAATAATTGCTGCTGTGCGAATTTTCTTCCCAAAAAAATAAGTTAACAAAAGATGGCCATAAGAGTGTTCGGGGTTAGTCTTGTGGTTAGAAGTCTTGTTTTGGCAGCTTTCTGCGCTATTAAGTGTGTCCTATCTGGCGGTTGTTAGTGGGCTTAAGAATTTGTGTTTTCGTAATTGCGTAATTGTTATTGTTGTTCGTGTGTGGCACCATTAAAACCCAAATTGTGTTAGGAAAAGCAAATATTCGAGGGAAGAAGTTTTTAATCTCATTTCATTCCGAATTGTACTTTGAAAATAACCTATAGCCCTTATATTCTAAAATACATTTAACTAGAAAAAGTTTTAAATTTATTTTATTTGAAAAAAGCTAAGAATATTAACAGTTTTCCTAAAATTTATAAAAGTAAGAAACTTTTATAATGATTTACAATTATTGTGGCTTAGTTGTTCTTAAAGTTTGAATTAAAATTTTGTAAGTCTCTAACGTTTTAAAAACCAACCTGAATTTAAATTAAAATTTTTTTTAATATTTATTGTATATAATATGCTTAAACAAGGGTTTTAATTTAAAATCCTAGTCTTCACCTTAAACCCGTAGTTAATGCCATATGGAATATTTAATTTGCATCTGACCTTTTATGGACCAATTTAATTTAACCCAATTTTGCCCCCACTTTAACCTTCGTTTTACGTGGGCTGACCAAGTAAATTGCTTTCGCTTGGCTGAAATGAGTTTCATCTATATTCTATAAATATTTTTGGCTCATTTGAATGTCTGCCTGCTGTCTGGGCCAGCTCAACAAGTATTTGCTGGATATATTTTCCTAACAGTGTGTGCCGTGTCTATGTGTTCGTGCTTGTATTTGTATAGGTTTTTGCCGTGGCGTGTTAGTCCCTCATATATGAATATATGAAATGTTTATTGCATGAAATGTTGCTTTCGTATTTTAATGATGCTGCTTTTGTTATGGAAAACTCTAAATTGTACGGGGAATTTCCTCTTTGATATGCTGCATTGTTAGAAATTTCCTTTACATAATGAAATCCTTTTCAAAAATCGCCTTTCACACACACACATATTTAGGCATTCACAAACTAAATAAATCCAAAAAGAAAACTCATCTCAATTTTAACAATATTTATTGTTGTTAATTAAATATTAAACATACGTTTTGTAAAAAATAATAAAGGAAAAAGAAATTGTATCAAAAGTACCTAACTACAGTTTATTATTACATAATAATATATTATTAAATTGGTTAATATTAAGTTCTCTGCACTCGAACAGAACTTAAAGTAACTCGAACATAATCATAGAAAACAAAAGGAATTTTATTTTCGCTCTTAAAGTACAGTGTGCGCCGTTTAAGTTGAACACTTTCTTGATGCGCTTATATCTCTTTTGATGATTTTTGTTCTACAGTGACTACAATAAATATTGATGTAAAACAATGATCTTTCGCTTCATGCTTGCCATGCAAACTCTTTCGATTATACGTATTCGATAATAACTTAATTTCATGCCGGCTTCAATCTCTATGAAATGAATCAGTTTTTGTCGATTTGTTTATAGGTTTTAATGTTTGTTTTTCATTGTGTAGAAGAATAAACTTTTGTGAGTTAATACAAAGCTTAGAGCCCAATTTGGAGTCAGTTTTGCGACGGGCGAACTTAGATTTATTGGGTGCATCTAACAAACTGGATAACAACTTAAAAAGCTCTTTTAATTTTAAAATGTTTTATTGAATTTTATTAAAATTTTAATTTATTTCCAAAGCCGAGTAAAAGTTTTTCATTTAATTCAAAGTCACAAGAAATTTGCTTGATATTTGGAAACTTTTATTGCAATGTGAATTGTATTTAACGTTTGGTTTATTTAATTAAATCGAAATGAACTGTTATCCTTCAAATTAAATTCTTGAAATGTAGTTGAGACTTATGCCTGCGCTCCCTAAAACTTCCCGATTGCCGCAAAACTGCTCCGTCCCTAATCGTGCTGCGCGTTTCCTGTACCCAAAAAAGGAGAAATAAATAAATATGAATGCCACACGCGCACACACACACGTGCACACGCTCAGATTTCCGTTTCCTGTGGCAACTTTGGCGTCGTCGGTGTTGTCGTCGTCGTAGAATTCGTTAAATTTGCCGTATTTGTTGCATCTGCGATCTGGGGTCTCTGCGGTTTTGGTGGTGTTGCTGGCGCCATGGACTTGCCCCTTCCCGAAAGTAACATCGCCTGCTTTTCGATCAGCTCGCGTTGATCCTTGGGCAGCCAGCGCGAAAAACGCGATTCGGGGATTCCCAGTTGATTTCCCTTCTGCAGCAGATCAGCATTCTCATTGCCATCTTCCTTTTCGCTGATAGAGTTCCGGGAATAACGTCCTGCCGCCTGACTCATCAGAATACTTTTCAGGGGTCTTGTGGTGGGATTATAAACACTGCTCTCACGATCCGTGCCATATTCAAAGCTATCATCTTCATCGTGATGGCGCCTTTCCACCGACAGACGATCCTGGCCATTTCCATTGGCCTCTCGCAATTTATTAGCGCCCAACAGGGTAATACCATTGGGGGTCTCCAAAAGTGCCACATTTTGACCATGGTTCGGCTGGGTTTCCAATTCGATTTGCTTATCATTCTGGCTGCTTCCGTTTTTTTATTATATTTTTTAATTATTTTTTGTCAAATTAAATTTTTTTTATTTAATTGAAGATTTTTTTAATTTCAAGATATGTTTAATGTTAGAAATCGTATCAATTGACATTTTCGTCAAGTTTTCAAACGTTTTTTGTTTAGATTTTTTTCAATTTAAGTTAAAAATATTTTTTTTTAATTCCCATTAAAATATAAATTTAATATTTCAATTTGTTTTTAGTGGTTTGAAAATTTGTGGGTTCATCACACATTCAGTGGTTTTCGTTGGGTTGTGGGCGTTGTTTGTTGTCCATATGAAAGTAGTAGAATAAGAAGACAAAACATAGCAAGGAGTTTGTTTTCGTTTCTTTTTGTGGTTGAGGTTTGTTTTTTTTATTATATTATTTTTGTGATGCATTAGCAAAGTGGCTTTAACACTATGAGTTTTTGTTTTTTGTTCTATGCAGTTGTTTGCTTCTAGTTTTTATTTTTTTGTTGAATGACTGGGACAGCGACATTTTTGACATTTTAGTAGATGCGTGAGACAGAGCAAGAGAGCTTTATGATTTTCAGAGGGTAAGAGAAAGAGACAGAGCGAGACAGGGACTTCATCATTTTCTGGTGGGCGGGCGAGCGAGCAAAGTGGGCGTGGCAGAGCGACTAGCGAGCGTTTTAATGTGAAAGTTCAGGAGTGTATAACATGTGTATGGTGTGTGTGTGTGTGTGACAGCGTGATAACAAAACTGATTTTGCTTTTATGGAATTAGAATTTAGAATTTCAGTTTTCAGGACTTTTCAAATACAAGACGAAACACGAGACTTTAGCAATAAACTGTGTGGGTTGTGTGTTTATGTGTATGAGTGTGCTTAAGTTCAAGTTTTGTACTATAAAAGGACTATGAACTAACCTAGGATGACAATGAGCTGCTTCTATTACTAGAGATGATTGCTTTTTTGATATACGGTTAATGTAAGTACGAAAATTAAAGCCACTCAAGAGACACATGCAAGTAGACAAACAAAAACACATCCGAACTACGCAATATTAAAGTAATGGATAACAGATTAATGGCTTTGAAAATTAAACAAATTTAAGCAAACCATATACCGTCGATGGGTTAGTTGTGGATCCATAGCTATTATTTATGTATATATGGCCTGGCCCCATTTTTTTTGCACTTTTCTGAACTTATTTTGACATTTGTTAGGCTGATGGGAGAGTTCACTGTACTTACGTTTCGTTTGTGGGCGTCTTAATTGATTTACCTGTGTGAGAAAAATATAAAAATTATTTTAAAACATTTACAATAATTGCAGAATCATTTGCATACTGAATAAAAATGATAGTCATGATTAATGGTATACGAACAGGTGCCCCAACTAACAACATCATCATCAGCCTACTTTCTGCCACATCAAACACGAAAAGGGTGTAACCTTACATTTTTATATTTTTCTTGTTTTTGTTTATTTTTTTCTTTTTACTAAAATTACAAAAGAACAGAAAAAACATAAGTGTGAAGCGGATAACTAATTAAAATAAATCATAGGCATGTTTAATTTTCTAATTTGTTATGCTTGCCAAGTTTTAATTGATTGATTTGCCAATCGACACAAAATAATAATTAGAAAATGCAAAATGCTGGCAGCTCTTATAGCTTAAATAAATACATGGATGAAAATCAATATTGCTGGACAAAATATAATACAATAAATTGGACATTTTTGATTTATTATTCATAATATATGTTTTGTTTTAGATGTATTCGAGTAGGACGTAGGAAAATTTTAGGATTGCGAAAATCGCGATACACAAAAAATTGGTCACTTAAGAATATTTGGCCTAAGGTAAGGTGTTGATTTTGTTTTCTTTATAGTAAAATTATATATGTATATAATATTTTTTGTTGTGCGCTTTTTGAGATTTTTTCATTAATATTATTTTTTATGAGAGAGCAAATATTTGAGAGCAAAAGTGTGGTAAGGAGATATATAGTTATTCGTTATTTTTGTTTCTTTTCCCTTTTGCTTTTAGCAAATGGGGCACACAGCTAACTGGCCAAGAGCCACGCCCATTTACTGGGAAATGGTGGGTGGCTTAAACGGAAGTATTTGGCGGCTTGGGAGCCTCGAGGCCATTTAAATTGTGCTGGCTGCCATTTCCAGCGGCTATAACCGCTGCCGCTGTGGCTGCCGCACTTTTCTTCAGGTCCGCCTTCTTTTGCGCCTCCAATTTATCGGTAACGGGGGGCGTGGCCTCCTCCGATTGCTGGGTGGTATCGATATGCTCATCGCCATTATCGCGACCATCCAGCTCTTCGTCGTCATTGAATTCCGGGTGGATCTGGGCCTCGGAATCGGGACCGATGTCCGTGTTTAGAGTGGCGCCTGTAAAAACGACAACAACAAGAACTAACATTTAGCTTTGTGTGCAGAGAGAGAGAGAGAGGTAGAGAGAGTTGGAGAGAAAGGGAGAGAAGATTTCGATCTCGAAGATACCAAAATTCCATATTAAAGTTGAAGTTAGTCCATTTACCAAGAAGCTTATTAAGCAGAAAGTACAGAAAGCATAAAGAAACATAGAAATACAATTTTTTTCAAATATTAAACATTATAAGCAAATAACACATTATTAAAAATATTTTGGACTTTTTTTGGCAAATTTTTAGCAACCAATTTTTGATTTTAATGTTAGCTCTTCTTGTTGTTGTCATTTGTAGACACTTTTTCTCAGAGAGTTGTACAATTGTTTTGTTAATCTTAGGTAACTAATTAAATTAAATTTTTATTTTTAGTTGGGTTGGATTTGTTTCGGTTTTTAAGGGTAAATAGTCTTCAATTAAAACCGGCGTTAAGATTTTTTAAGATTCATGTAGCATACAGATTTTGTTAGACCAACTTCGCATTTTATTGCACATTTTATTTGTTTTTACATGATTTATAAGTTGGCTGGGAGTTCAGTGAAATTTTAAGTTTAACATTTCCATATTTGTATGTTTTTAAATAGTTATACTTTTTTTCATTTTCTCTTTCATATGTTCCATATTTCAATTTTTGGCCCTACCACATACTTTTGCAAGAATATTTTTCCACAAAAACTCCGACGGCAAAGTCAAGTGAATTTTTTTTTAATTAGATGAGTTTTCTAGGGCTGCTGCGTTCATCCGCCCCTTTAGCTGCTCTTTCTGCTAGGTTAACGCTAATTAAAATTTAAAAGCCGCACAATGTGTCGAAAGTTAACAACGGCTTGTGGCAGAAGAGCCCAGCCCACAGGCCCCAAAAACCCGAGTACATATATGAATTGCAGGATGAGTTGTGGATGGGGAAATAAGGGGGGTGGTGGTGGTAGTGATGTTGGTGGAGTTGAGTGGTAAAGCCAGAAATTATTGTTAGCATAGCTGATGATGAGACAATAGTGGCTGGTGGTGGATGATCATGATGATGATGATGTTGTTGTTGTTTTTCATGTGGCTGAGAAGCTAATGACGATGTTTCATCCACGAAATAAGCAATAATGTGTGTATGGAGATTTAAAAAAAAACATTTTCGACTTACCGCCAAAACACCATCGGCCAGTGGCTCGTGCAAACACAATCAGTAGAACAACCAGGACCAAAACGGCAACGGCAACCACAATGCCAACAATTGCGGCCACATCCAGGCTGCTGCTGGGCGGTTTGCTCGACGAACTGATTCGCACCTTGTAGTCCGTCAGTCCCAGTTCATTGCTGGCCCTCAGATTGTAGATTTTCGTGGTATCCTCCAGAGTCAGACCGGCGATGGCCAGAGTCACATTGTACTCATCGTTGCCCAGATACTGGGGTTCATATGCCGAATAGCGTCCGTCGGTGCGACCCTGACCCACAACCGCTCCATCGATGCTCCATTCGATCTTGGGCTGCGGACTGGCTCGGATTGTGATGTTCACAATGGCAGTGTGCTCGAGATACAGGCCGTACACGGCGGCATCTGGCTGGTGGACGGGGGCATCTGGGGGAAAATAATTGATTAGATTAAAAATGAATAGAAAGAAATGTCGCGGTGCTATAAAAATGTTTTCCATCCTAATTTCAAACAAAAATCAAGACGAACTAGGTTGTAAGTTAATTGGAAGAGGTTTCTGTGCAACACACAAAATCTTTTTTAATCGAAAGTCCATACGATATCGGTTTAAGATTAGAATTTTTGAGATTTTAGATTCTAAAAGTACCAATGTTGGTACCTTATATATATAAATTTAGATTTGGGCTTTGAAAGGATGTTAGTACAATATTCATTCAAGCCATTTCTAAGCTTATTTCGCCTTTTAATTGTGTGATAGTATTTTGATTAAATTTTCGTATGTATAAACTTAAAAATTCCTTAAATTATGAGTTAATTATCCTTCAGAACTTACATCGCACATTGATGATGTAGGCGGCCTCTTGCGGAGGAAGACTTTCGCGATCGGTTTGGTGGTGTGAGCGGCAGACCAGTTTCCGGTTGCTGTCCTCGGCCGACAAATGCCACTGGATTTCCCCCACGGTGGTTGTGAGCTCCACATTGTTATCGGTGGTGGTGAGGTACTCCAGGGGAGTGGTGCGCTTGTTGGCCGGCATGTTGTCGATGTACCACGTGATATTCGCCGGCGGGCGACCCTTGCTAACGCTGCAGCGCGCGTTGAATTCAGTTCCCTCGTTAAAGTAGCCCTCGCGATTTGGCTTCGACAGCAGCTCGATAATGGGCTGTTCGGGACGCACTGGAAAATTGGAAGCAAAAAACATTGGTAAATTTGGGGACCGTAAAGTTTGGTTTTAAGAGTCCTAGCCAACAATTCTTTAGCAGAGTACTAATAAAATCAACTCCGAATAAAGTTAATTAAATTTATGGAACATTTTAGCATTTATAATTTGTAATTCTACTATAATTTAAAGATGGTTCTAAAATATATTTAAAAGTGAGATAAAACAGAAAACCAATTTAAGAATTGCAAGATTAGTATTTACTGTAATGTTAATTATTAATAAAACAACCATTAAACAAACATTATATTTGTTTAAAATTTTAGCTGATTTTATTTTATACCTTTGCTCTTATTTGAAAAATATCTAAGCTGAACCAAATCAATCTTTTAATTTATTACGTTGAAATAGACTACTGATTGACCCAAAAAATAAGTATGTTTTCCTTTATCTTTAATAAAACTTAAGGACTGTATTCTTAAAGTTTTTAACCTTTTATTTTTTTTATCTTGAAGCTTATTTAGCAAATTTTAAGATGTTTCAATAGTTTGATAGATATTTATTAGATAAATATTGCAAACTTGTGGGTTAATTTGAGTACCTTTTCTATATATTATTTTTATACTTACTTGCCACCACCAGGTCGATGACGCCCTCCAGCTCCTCTCCCTCGACGCCCAGACTGCACTTGACCTGGCCATTGTTGCTGGCCTTCACCCGCTCGATGCTGACGCCGCAGTGTCCGGCCGTAAGACCGCCTCCGAAGTACGCGAATCCGGGGGTCTTGCTCCACTCCGGCGACAAGTTGAGGACCTTCGGCTCGCCGGGGATCTCGATGCGGCAGTAGTTGATGGCTCTTCCATAGCGGCAGAGCAGCTCGGTGCGATCTCCTTGGTTGAGGAGCGCTGTGTTGGGTTCCACATTCACTTGGGCCCAGGTGAGCGCATCTGCAAGATAAATATAAAAACAAAAGAGGCGATTATGTTGGGGTTGTTGTGTAATTTGCTTAGGTATCTAGTATCTGGTATCGCATAACCCGAGTCTTTGTGTTTCTCCAGAAAAAAACAAATAAAACGGCACGTTCCATGCAACACTCGACACGATGTCCTAATGTCTCGGCAATCAGGCAAATGACTGTCGCATTTAGCAGACAGACACCTGCACGTTTGCATCTTTAAGATACGCATCGCATGCCCGGAGATCTCAGCTTGTTTTTTTCATTTGCCAGTGCAAACAATGCGGCTGCATTTTCTCATTAAGTTTCAATTAAGTTATTCGTTTGCTTTTTGTTTTTGTTCATCTCGGTTTTGTGTGGAAATGTTTTCCCACTCCCATTGCCGCAGTTGAAAAAGTTTTACGAAAAGTTCTCCCAACTGCAGTTGCTTGCGATTCTTTTTAAGCATTTACTATTTGCCAATTAAGACATTTGAGTAATTTTCTAAGTTTGGCATTAAACGTTTGAGCAGAAGTGGAGCTTTCGCCTTATTTGTTTGTTTGTTTGCCTGACTTTGGCTTTGTCGGTTAGGCGATGCAAATATGTCAGAGAAGGCTAATTTCTAATGAAATTTTGACTCCGGATTATTCGGATTCTGACAAACGATTTCGATTTAATTTTAGTTAAAATGTGTGCTTGGGTTTCGTGTATGAGGGGGCTTTAATTTAGTTTACGATTGATTTTTAAGATGAAACAAATGCAATAATGGCTTATATTAAACAGTTCATTGAGAAGTTTATTTTTAAATCAAATTTGTTTCTTATTCGTTTTTGATATCATAGTTGCTTAAACTTTATCATAAGCACGTATTTTGAAATTTAATATTAAAGAGAAAAATCAATATTTCCAGGATTTGATAGCTTTATTGGTAGCTCTGAGTACTTGATTTGTATTTATCGTCTATCTTCATCCAACGATTTCGGAAATTGCCGACTAATTTCTGTAAATGAATGCCGCGAAATTGCAAATTGCAGCATAAATATGAGAGGGGCACCGAAACCAGCTGCAATTTTAAAGTTGGTTTGGATAAGAGGTGAAAAAGAGGGGAAGCTGTAAAAGAACCTCGAAATGCAGCTGGCCAAAAGCGAATTGATTTCTCCGCTCGATGCCGTTGCGCTTTTTGGCTTTTAGATGACTGACAGGCTGGCTGAGTGAAGTTTTGTTTGGTCAGCCGGAAACGTGCGGAAAAAACAATAGCATTTGCATTCGACTTTAAAAATCGGGTCAGCCAGCTGGCCATGTAATGCGAAACTTTTCGACCGCCCCATGAGATGTCGCTTAACTTTTGACAATTGAGTTGTGAGTGATTTTTTTTTGCAGACTCCTTTTTGCTGCTTGTGATATTTTTATGTGACGCCCATTCTTTTTGTTTCATTGGAATTTGTAGACCCTATAAAACCACTTAGATGTCTGAAAAGGGCCGCTTGAAATCCCGCCGAGAAGTTTTGCTGCCGCTTGGATTTCCAGAGTCCAGTTCGGAATCCAGAGTCAGCAAAAATCGTTTCACACTTTCCCCCACAAATAAAAACGGGGATTGCAACAAACTGTGGCTCGGGTTCCGAAAAAGTGGAATAAAAAAGGGGAAAACGTGGAAGTTGAAGTTGGACAATGTCACATTCACAGCTATGAAAACAAACGCCAGCATTCGAGACGTTGCATCGACTAGAGATGAGCGCGTGATGTAAACTTTGGATGTTGCAATGCGGATAATTTAAAAATATTTACTTTAACATTAAAGTTAATTGTCTAAGTTGTAAAAGAGGTGAGACAAACTAAAATACTTTGGAAGGCTTTAAAAATGTTTGTCTAATACAACAATGTTAGTCATAAGCCATTATTACAAATTTGTATTCATGGAGGTTGTTTAGTGCCTATACAGTAATGAATAATTAAGTGAGTTTTAATTGTGTTAGGCAAAATAAAACAAATAAGACCTTTTTTTGGCATGAATCGCGAATGACTTGCTCACGCGTTCACCTCTAGCCCCGACATACGCTCCATATCCATGTGTTTATTCACAGCACAAATCTATTTTTTATCCATTCCCCCTGCTGGTGATATTTATTTATTTAGCTTTTTTTCGCCGTCGAAATTTTCGCCGGACCATCGTCGTCCTCTGGGTTGGATTTACAGATCCCGACTGGATTCTCCTCCTCTGTTGTTCCCCATGTTTTATTTGATGCCATGTCTGCAGTTTTCAGAGGAACGTTGGTCCAGTTCAGTGGTCTTGCCTCAGCGGAAACTCTGCTCCAACTTTAAGTGCTTTTATTTTGTTGACCTCATGTGTGCGGCCATAGAAATCATTTCACTTCACTTTTCCCCTCTATAAATTGTACAAATAGATTTAATTTAATGCCCTCACTCTTCCCAATAAAAATCAACTATGGTCTGGGAGTCCATATCGGTGCATCGTCTTAGCCCGCCTGTTGTGGCTATTGTTTCCTATTTTTTGGCCACGTTAGCGTCTTTTGGCTGGAACGTGATTTTTACTTGAATTTTGTGGTTTGGGTACTTTGATTTTTCAACTACAGTTTTAGTTGGCTGTTGTGTAAAGTTGCACAGGATACGGTGGAATAACGATTGAAATGTTTGATAAAAACGAGGAAATAATTTATAAGTTTATGAAATTTTATAATTTATTAAGAATTGACATATCATAAACATGACTTCATAAACATATATATATAAATTAAATTTTCAAAAAAGATTTAACCATTTTGTAATATTTTTTATAAGCCCATCTTATTGAAGAAACAAAATGGGTTAATCCTCTTAATTTTTAATTACCCTTAAAGGACATTACTCTCCATGCATTTGAATGTTTTACTTTTAGATTTGGAAACGATTTTCCCAGTTTATCCCATTGCCCCAATCAGCATCTTGTTGATTTTAAAAGAGAAAGAAAAAAGCAAGTCCAGCACATATGTCTGGGATGCTGTCTACCACAAATTGGTATGCAATTTCAGCACTATAAAAGGAAAATCAAATGCGGCATGCACGAGTTCATGTACATTTATTGAATGCAATATGTGAGCTTATCATCCCGGCCATTATATATCGCTTGGCTGGTAATTTTCAATTTATCAGCATCGATTTATCAGCTTTTGTGATACCCGCTACCTGCATTCGGGCAATTGCAGAGCAACAAAAAAGATAATTATTACTGATTTATGGCTGGCTTTCCATCCGAGTCTTGAACTCAAAGTCAATGGGAGTTGGGCAACAAGAGTTCAGCGCAAAACTTGTTATTGTTAACTTCTGGCTTTTCTTTTCAGCCAACATTATCGCGTGTGTGTGCAATTTCTTTTTACCTTTACGGGTTGATTTTTATCCAGCATTTCGTGGCTATTAATAATGATTGGTTGTTACATCAAATTGCCGTGTCGCTGCCTTTTACTTTTTTCTTGACCAATTTTCTATTTATTATTGGGATTATTTATGGCCTTTATCAATCATTTTTTTGTACAAATTTATTGAGCTTTTTTTCGGCAGTTTCTTTTTGTTTTGATTAATGCAAAGGTGCAAAAGTGTTAGGCAATAACCAAAAATATTGTTGTTAAATTTGAAAGGAAAGGCAATGCGGTTTTTTTCTGGGGGAAAAGTGAACGTGACATTTGCCACACGTGGCACACAGGTGCATTGCAGGCGAAAGTTTCCTAGGGCTTTTCCCCAATTTTCCATTAATCGCAGGCGGGAGCTTTGAGGCCGGCACTTTTTCCTTTCCAGAGAGATTTAGATATCCAGTTGCTGCCGCAGGTGAAAGTTGCCCAAAATACAGATGAGGAAAGCCAGGGAAAATATCCATTTATGATATGGCTGCAGCTCCACTCCCTGAGATATCATCTTGTCCATCCAGCTGGTATAAAAAGGCACGTAACTGAAGAAAACCGGATGCGGAGAAGAGCAATTAACGAAGCCCAAAGCAATCCCATAGAGCTGACCATCGCAGAATAGGGGGCCACCAAAATCGGTAGTACAGACACGATTTTCCAAGGACCTTACACATATGAGATCTTCGCTTTCGGCCTGGGACTCCCTTTGGTCTCTCCTGACATCCAGGCACTCCTCAATTGGTCGCAGTTCAACGTCAACAAATAACATGCTTTGGAATGATCCAAATCTTTGCCTCTAAGGGTTTTCATTTAGAATTTATACCCATTCTTATATTCAATTAATACCAACTCTAATGCCAAAGTTTCCACCCACGGTCTTGCAATCTTTTCCCACTTCTAGTTGGGAATTTCCTATAATCACTTGGGCCAATCTTAGGCCATCAAATTTAATAGTTCTTCTCAGCTTAATTACAGCCAAATCATCGCGAACGTTTCTCTGATAATACGGATAGACAACCATATTCTGAATTTCCACAAGAAACTCTTCAGCCTCTGGAGTTTGGAAAAGAGCCGCACAAAGGGCTACCACAATTCGTTTTGTGTTCATTATCATACCTTTTTTACTAAGTAAATTCCAAATTAGATAAGAAATATATTAAATTATTTACCCACTCTGTGATGCAATGTGCCGAAGTGAGAACATGGCGCTTACTCAGCATCACGCCAGTACAGAAATGATTATCTCCAGGAGTATGTATATATGTACGAGTGCGCAAAGACACTAGATAGGTACTTAGATGGCTATATGTAGGCTCCGGATATTTATCACTGGTGGTTATATTTCCAAGTGAAAACATTGCAGTTTGCAGCAGCAAAATATAAGTAAGCCACATTTGTAAGAATTTATTTACGTAAGAACAAAAGTGATAAGCAACTCAGGGATTCCTAGTCTTTAATGCGGTATTTAATAACAGCGTAAAACATTTGCTACCGTATTTGGATAATAATGGAGTTTATATACATAACTCATGTTGTTATTATGTTTATAACTCATGTTATTTACTCAAATATGCATTATTAAGTCATTGGTATTTCCTAGGAAATTGCCTTTCTTGTCGCTTTGCCAGTCAATCAATAAACTAGTAACATAAATTTCGAATTTAATTATTTACATGAGAGCTGCTAAATTTTCACTTTCAAGTCATCAGTACAATATGTGCATTATTTATGCCCCAATTTGAGTTTCCCTTTACAAAGCAAACATACCCCATTTGCTTTCACAATTATAGACTTTCGGGTATTTAAACGGCAGAGACTTATTTGAGCCTCGTCCGCAGAGGACAACAAAGTAAGGCAACTTCCCCAGCAGACATTCCCATCTGTCAGTTAATTAATGCGAACGAGACAATGAGATTGCCGGTCCTCTGCCATTTGCATCTTGCATTTGCCACTCTACTTTTCGATGAGCTTATGAGCGTCTTATTGTAATTACCCGACAATGCAGTGAAGTGGCGTCGACTGCGGGCGGAGGACAAGTGGCAAGCCAGGACAAGCTGTTTGCATATCTGAGGGGTCCCTTGAATGCCAAATGCTTATTAAAGTCCAAGAAATATTATCATAATTAATGCTCCCACCAGAAGTGCAAAATGCACCGCAAAACTTTGTCCAGTTCTCCGGTTGAAATTTATGCTAAGTTCTGGATTATTATACAATGGTATACAATTTATTCTATATGTGCGATTGAACCGAGAAGAGAAAGAGAGACCGTTTAAGTTGGCACTGGACATGTGATAAATATTGCGGTCCATATTTCTCATAAATTCAACAATACCAGTACAAAATTGCAGAAAGCAATTTATATAATTCGCCATCGTTGTGCAACATGTTACTGGGCAAATTAATATGCGGCAGCCTGCTTGTGCAACTCACTTTCTGGCCTTAACCCTTTAAGAAGCTTATACAAATTGTGACGATGACAGCGTCTGCCAAACTGGAGAAGACAGGAATAACATATTCCAGACCAGACGAAGGTTGCCTAATTTAATGCATAAAAATCGCACACGCAAGCAACAGACGTGGTAGAACAAGCTTAGGGAGGAGTCGAAAAATAAAAACTACCCTGTACAAAAAATTCGAAAGAATTTGTTAAGTCTATGAAGTTTTAAAATTTAAGAAAATTTAGATTTCCAAAAATGGTATTTTTTAGTTATATAGTGCTACTATAAGTACTATATTTTGTGTCAAAATAACCAATTATATTCCTTGGATTATTTTTATTGTGTTTTATTTTTCAAAATGCTAAGCTAATCAGTGGTAAATTGTGAATCGATATTGGACCTCAAATAGATAAACAAAAAGAAAATGAAAAGGAATAACATTTTTTTACATAGTTATTTTTTAAGATCCAAGATAAATGTTTGGTCCAAGCCCACCAAAAATCGAACACACCCTAAAAATACCCCCTAGAACATTATGTTAACCCAAGCAGACGCCCCACGGGGAAGCCGCCTACAAACCAGCTAGAGAACTAGGGAAACAGCAGGATCCGCAGCCAAGCGAAGTATAAATTAACATAATTTTCATATACACGCGCCAAAAGTTGCAACCACACCTAAAGCTAGGCAAAGGATCCAGGATCCACGCCCCGTTGAATTATGGAAAAAAGTGCTGGGACCAAAAAAAAATGGGGGAAACCTTAAGAGACATATGAATTTTTTTAGTAAAGTGAAAAAATATCAAAGAAAATGTGTGTGTGTGTATGGGGAGGATGAGACAATGACAGCGGCCCACCCAAATGACAGTTATTAATATATACGCAAAAAAAACTGTCTCGAAATTGTTGCTGCCTATTTTTTTAAGGATAAACGCTGGAAGGCCGCCAAGTGTCGCCAGCGATTTGCGAGACATTTATCAAACCGCAGTGAAATTATGTAGACAGGCTGGAATTTCGCTTAGCCAAATCAGAAATGTCACTGAAATCAGCACCCGGGCCAAAGGTAGATAAAGTCAACTGAAATGCTATATATATTTGGAAGCATGACGGGAGGCTAGACGTCGCCGGTGCTCATAAAAAGTGTCTGCGAGTGGGTTTTAATTGTTTTTCCTTTTCGCTGACATTTTCACAGGATGTTAGGGGACGGTGAACCTGTCTCGAGCCACAAAATAAATTGATCTGTGGTTTTGGCCTCATAATTTATGGGCATTTCTTTTGGGGTGTGCGGAGAGAAAATGGTGAATGCGAAATTTGACAAATGGCTGGAAATCACAAAATGGCAGTCTTCGCCCCCCAAAAAATAGAAAAGCTCTTCTTGTAAATGTTAACGAAACTGACATTAATTTTATGTTACTGGCAAGCGAAATCAATTAATTATTGTTGTTGTCAATTGTGTTGTGCAGGAATATGTATATATACAGATGGACAATATTGATTTCTATTGGTGTTGACATATCCTAAGGGGAATGTCTGCTTCTTAAGGCTTGTCGTTGATGGACGACTTTAATTTTAAGGTATTTAAAGATTATTGGTTAAGGTAACATGAAAATAATGGCATTTAAATTAAGAGAGTGATTTCATACATTCATTATTTTTATATACTTGCATCTTGTTGGCTTAAATTAAATGTGAAGCAAATAATGGTAAGTCAATAAACAACTTCACAAAAAAACTTAAAATATATAAACAAGATTTTATAGTGTTTTTAACTAGATTGGAAAACTTTTTTTCTTCTCAGTCAAACTACACAGAAAGAAAAATTGTTTTGAAAAATGATTGATTGATATTGAAAAAAATTTAAAATATACAAGTACAAATCCATCAATCTGTATAATAATATCGCCATTTTTTCACGCTTCACTGCCCACACAATTAACGCGGTCAAATTTTATGTGACGTTATTTCTTTTTTATGTTCAACTTTTTTTTTCTTGCCGTAAAGTTTCATGTGCGCGTCACGGTTTAATTGCATAATTAATATGCAAAACTAATTTGTATGCTAAATATGTTATTATTTGTATTTGCAATTTCTTTTTTATTTATTTGCCCATAAGCACATAAAAGAAATTGCTTGGCCATGAGTAAGAGCTTAACGGTTATGTTTTAACGGTTGCCTGGCCCATTTGAGTCTTTTTGAACCCGCTTCGAGCTTAAAGTTTTCAAAGTTTATGGGCAAAAAAGTGTTTCTGCTTTCTGCTTACTTTTCGCACTGATCCGCTGAACGGAAATGGCGATAAGGTATGAGTCAGTCTTTCTTGGCTGACCCAAAATTCTGGAAAGAGAATTGTTTTCGTTGCTAATTGTTTGTCAACGTTTATGGCACGTTTGAAATGCTTTGCTAATTAAAGCATAAAATATTATGCTGACAATGGCAGAGTGGCGAACTTTCCAGCTAAAATAAAACTTTGTCCAAACTCTGACAAGATCAACTTTTTGCCTTGCCTTCTGTTTGCCTTTCGTCTTTAATTTAATTGCCCTGTGTGCATTTGTTGCCCAGTTGAAGAGGCTTAGAAAACAGTTTGGCAACTAAGCGCTTTTCACAAAATACAAAATCAACAAAACCAGCTGAATGCAACATTTGTCGGCGTCCATGACTCGGTTTCCATTCACATGCAAATGTGCGAGAGATAAGTGGGAAACATGTTTTCCCAGACCAACAACAAAACTGGAGTCCCAAGGCTGAGAGTTGTCCAAGTTGCAGCGGCATATTCATAGACTTGCAGTGTTAGAAGACGTGGCCTGTCTTTATCCAAGGCCAGCCACTCTGGCTCCCATCGTTTATATCGACTTGCCGCTTTAACTGACGATTAACTTGCCTTTAATTTTTCACATTCATTTATTTCCAGCCGGGTGAAACTCATTTATTAAAGCCTCTTTTTTATCTGCTTACGATATAAATTTTAAATGACAGTCGCACAAAAAATGGCACCTTCTGGTAATTAAAGTTTATTAATAATATTTTCATATTAACTGTGCAAATATTGTAATAAAAAATAATATATATTTAATGCACCCCTACTTTGTTATTAATACGCATTGACAGACTGGCCACGTACACAAATAATTTATAAACTGTGTTGACATTATCTAACCAAATAAAATTGCCTCGCACATCATCAACACAGTATGGATAATGTTCTGAGAAAGAAAACAGATAATTTAAAATTCCAAAATAAATATTTTTAATAGACTCTATAATAGTTGCAAAATATATAGCTGATTTAATTATAGAAGCATTTAAATTCCTTCAAAAATGCGATTTCGGAGAGACCTCCGTATACAAATTTAAACCCATTCATTATTACATTATTCACTTTAATAATTTTAAAAATAATCACCCTAAATTATTGATAAAAGTGTCCCAGTAAATGTATTCAAAGTCCAGTTTCGAAAGAAGCCTTGTCCAGCAATTTTGAAGTGACTTTGGGGAAATCTTTCATTTCATTTTATTTGGATAATTTATCATAGGAATATTCAAGGTGCTGGAACCTTTCACCAGAGCAGTAATTTAAATGTTATCTTTAGGCCGTTCGCACTTTCTCCAGAGGGGGTAACTCGTTCGCCACGAAAACTGAGGTGACGACAAATGTGTGGGATGCCCAGGGGCCAACAAGGGGCTAAAGTGTGATACCTAGGGCCGGGGTTAAGTTTTGCCTCGCTGCGCCCATTTAACCTTTGGGTTTGTGTGTGGCCACGAGCAAACATAATTGAAGTCATAAATAACGAATTATGTTGGGAAAGCTGAGCCTGGGATATCAACAGCAACAACAGCAACAGAATGGGGCAAGGTTTGTTTAGTTAACTTTTTCTCCAACAGCTTCAGTTTCACACTTTTTGCATAATTATGACATGCCCGGGAAACGTCTACAGAGGTGGGAGTTTAAGTTGTCCGAGTTGCTGGCTAATTATGCAAGCCCAGCGCAAGCCAAAAGATTTATTATGATGGAATAACTTTTTAATGCAACAGGGAAGGAGCAGAGATAGGCACACAGGATTTGCCAGGTAGCTCTCTAATTAAAAGCTTCAACGTTTTAATCAATTTTATGATTTAGCTTGACATGCCCCAAGGCTGTTTTCCAACTCATTGCGTTTGTGTATATGT